TTTTTTTTTTAAATATGCTTATGCTACTGATTATTTTCGCTGCACTGAGTATAACTTTATACTACATTGTTGCTATTAATAAATGCACTGCTTTTAAACATCTTCGACATTTTCTTGCTGCTGCTCTTGCTGCGTGCCATCATAGCTCTCCTCCAGCTCTCGCATGTTGATAACCACATTTCCATTGGCAGTGTCTATAGCTGGCATAACTACAACCTCTTCAATATCAGTCGATGCTATCCCATCAATGATCGCCGTTGCGTCCGCTGGTACTGGCTTAACTGGTATTATGGGCACCAATCCATTCAGATCAGCACCATCCGATTTCACTGTTGCTGTGGAAGCAGCAGATACTGAGCCCATAGCAGGCATTGCGACATTCAGCGGCAGTGTATCGTCCTGGCGTAACAGTTGATGATGTTGGCTATGGCTGCGTGTTTTTGTTTTTGTTTTCGTATAAATAATAACAATAACAACAAAAGTTTGTGTGTGGGCAAATTACTCAAATTTAAATTAACGGCACAATTGGATAAGAAACAAATGTATAGCGTAGCATACAACAATACAAGAAAATCAACAACAACAACATTAGTGTGTGTGTGTGGATCAATTTTGTCTTGTTCTACCTACTAGCGCCATCAAGCGTTCTTACTACTACATTTGCACTTATCTGCGTGCTGGATATTGGATTAGTTACTGGAATTGCTCGAGAATGCTAACCTGGTTTGTTGTGTGGTATCGCCCATGGAATCGTATGATGGCATCTGGTGCTGCTTTTGCGTGTTGTACGTCAATCCATCGCCGACACTGTGACACAAAACCACGAACGAGCATAGTATTTTGGTTATGAAAGATTTATAAGTTTTTTTTTTTTGAAGATTTTTTAGTAAAGTCGCCACAGTATTTGCAAGTGAGTGTGTTATTTTGAATTATTATTTATAGCTTGTTTTGTGTGCGCAGCACTTCTTGTAAGTATGTTTAACGCTTGCTAAGAGGCACTCAACGTTTAGACAGTAGGAAGAGCAAGGATTTTATTTATTTAGTTTTTTTTTGGAGCACTTGGAGTTGGAAATTAACATGAGGATAATTTGATTAAGATTTAAGTGTATTGACCCAAAAATTTTGATTCCTTTATTTTTAGTGCGCATCATATATGTATGTATGTAAAAGTAAAAAAAAGTATAAGGTATATTTAGAGATAGTTAGAGTGACACAATAACGAAGCTATAGTGGATGTTCCCTTAATCGGTAATTTATTTTTGAGAGCGAGATCAGCGCGCTATTTGAATCCAATTTCAATTGAAATCCAGTGCAGAGATTATTTTAACAAAATGCGCATTAGGGCCGTTTACTTATCTGTTTTAAAATATGTAAATAATCAGTTAAACTTAATTACAACAATTTCCAAGGCCCTTAGTGTTACATATTTGAACTCTTATAGTTTGCCATTTTATAGTCACGCTTATCAAACTTTTAATAGAATTTAATAGAACGGCAAATAATAAAGTACCTTTCTGGCTAATCCCGAGAAAGTAATTTAGATAGACCTTAAGTGACGTCATTCTAAAAGGCTTATCCAAGAAGTACTGTAAATAGAACTTCCCTGCATGTCTTCTAGAAAGGCGTTACCTACTTACAATTTAGGCATATGTATAAGTTTAAATTAATTAGCATTATAAATGAATTTTAAGTTGTAACGAAACATATGTACATATAGTATATTCGATAAGGACCTCAAAAAGGTATGAGTTTTATTAATTAGAGAAGCTTCTATAGAAGAACTCTCCAAAAGGGCTTCTTGAAACCCTTCTTTGGTCATTAAAAAATTAAAAAAAAAAAAACTGGAATGACTAATTATCTAATTTGTCAGAGACTATAAGTCCTATCGGAAAGTGATGTCACGATCTGATTGTCCCAAAATACATCTATCTTAGCTCGTCGAGATTGTTTTTCATCAACGCTGTGAGACTTTGGAATAATATACCAGAATCCGTCAAGTGCTAATAAATTACTATTTTCGGTCACTGCGAGGAGTGTGATTGCAATAATATTCTTTCTTTCCTATCAACTGCCTCTCTGAACTCATTTCCTTCTATCTATGTATATGTTTAATTGTGCTTATGATTAGTTAAGGCTTTACTTATGCTTTGTGTTAGTGCTAAGTTTATTTTTAATTGATCTGTTACTCTGTAATAAAATACCAAATGAAGTTGATGCACTTTAAAAAGATTCTTATCTTATTTGTACCACCACTTTTGTTCAAATAAATAAATAAATATGTATATGGTTTATGGAGAATTATTAGTTTTCATTTGCCGTATTTCATATTGAGATTGATAAATTGGTTCGTAAGATATACGTGTTTAAGTGGAACCACTTTTTGTTTTAGGCTGAATAACGGTAAATGGCAAATATCTCGAAAACGTATCCATAGAAAAAAAAATTAACTCGATTTTCGGAATCACCGAGCAATTCTACATAGAAATTGGATAGTGGCGTCTGGAGAACAAAAACCAAAGTAAATTTTGCTATCCAGTGTATTTCGACTAATGCGTCTTTTTAGAAATTCACAACTTAATTTATACGCTTTACCATAAAAATTCATAAAAAATCACAGTTTAAAATAACAAATGTCCATTTTTGTGTAATAAAACTGACTCAAATAAAAATTTATGTTTTTAATTTGCCAAATAACATTTTTCTCGATAAAAACGTAAGCAGAACTCTATATAAGTGCTATATACATTCAGGTAATACATATCAGCAGACCTCAACGTCAAACGGGTTTAGGTGTACGACCAAAATAAAATAGAAATCGGAAGTAAAATTAAGACACAGGAAAGAGGATTACTAAGTGCACATTCTATAGCAAAAGAAAAGTTAAAAATTGCATAAAACAAAAAAGCTGCACACACATTCACTGCACATATGGAAATTATTAACAAATTAAATACGCGTGTTTCAAACATACAAATGTACATACAATTTTCTTGCTAAAAATGGAATTAAAAAATGTATTTACCTCGTGTAGACTGGCAAAAACCACAGTTTCCAGTTATCGCCGAACACTTCTTGGAAATTGGCATACTTTCCCAAATTATAGCCATTCTTATCTGGACCACCTATGCGGAAAATTGGCGCGCGGAAAGCCTCTACGAAAATATATATGTGTATTAGCGATTTTTCTTTTATATTTAAGCTACACTCTCCGAAGCCCTCCTACTCACCCAACGTTGTGCGGTTCATGAGCGTCAAGTAAACGTGATAACCGAAGAG